ATGTAACTGGTAAGGTGTTGTGCAGTAGCAGACCACGACAGTGACAGCAGACAAATGGACGACCAAGCGACTCGTTCCATCCCTAGTTGTGCGTAATTATGAGCGGGTCGTCCCGCGAAACACTGCTGCTATTGCTGGAAAATCTGGTTGAATCACCCGCCAACACGGACACTTACAATTCGGACACATGTTTTTGGTGTTGTCTACAGCTGTTCCTCGACGTTTTACTGATGTCCAGGCAGTATGGACGCATAGGGATGGCTCGCTTCCCTGTCACAAATAGCGCCCTGCGAAATTATCCGTTTTATGAGGATCTGGGATTAGGTACTTTGATTTAGAACTGGTTTTATCTTGCTAGTCTGTCCTTTCCACTTGAATGGAATGAGGTTTCCAGATAGTTACCTACGGTTTATGTAACGTTGTTTCTGGTGTTTGTCAAAGCAGCCATACGGTAGCTCTATGAGTACTTTGTTTTCTCTAGTAACTGAAGTGTTTAATGTTTTCTGCTGTGATTTGAGTCCTAAAGAGAGATCAAAGGAGGCGAAATGGCCGCTTAAGTGGTGGTAGCCTCGTTCGATCTTTCTTTGTTTCTCAATATTCTAGCCTTTTATAGCTCCCACTTTTTTGAGAATGAGCGGATTCTGGAGTTTGGATTGAAAGTAACTGCGTTGAATACTACCGTAAGTGATATGAGTCGGTGAAATGTATATTGTTAGAATGCTTGGAATTGCAGTAGTTACTTAGGAGTTTTATGCGGTAAGAAGTTTTTTATGAATTCGGACAGGCTTGCAAACAGAGAAGAAGAGTCACATGTTAGAGACGTAGAGCGTTTGCTGGGTTACAAGGCTTCTGTCAACCAAAGGATGAGATTGTAGATGGAAAAAGCATCGTGTGGTGTGGTATTAGGACTATGCTTTTTGAAGGGAATAAAGAGGTTCTGAAACAATGCGCATTTACCACACAAAATGTATGCTTTCCCATCTGCAATCTCGTCCTTTGGTTGACAGAAGCCCTGTAATCCAGCAAACGCTCTGCGTCTCTGACACGTGACTCTTCTTCTCTGTATTTAGGCATGTCTAAATTCATTTGAAATCTTCCTGGCATACAGAAGTTGATGTGTGAGGGTTCCTATCACTACAAAATGCTTAGTTGCTTAGCCTCGCGGTTGACAGAAGCCTCGAGACCAGTTTGTTATCACCCTAAACCATAGACTCCATTTGGACATCGCGTAATCCAGTCAGATTTCAGCGCTCTCCGCTATGCTCTTCACCAGGACTGGAGAAATTCTTCAACATCAATTCCCTCCCCGCCCCCCCCTTTTTTTTTACCCATCCCGGCGAGGAGAGCCTAGCGCATGGCCATTTTGTTGTAACAAATATTCTTTTACTTTCTTGACAACTCTTGTTTCTTCGAACTTTTTTCTCATTAATCTAGCCGATTTTTACTTACTACAGATCACTTCAATTTCCCCTTTGATTTATTCCTCTCTGACATGAACTTTTTTCTCTCTCTTTTTCATAATATTGTAGTTACGTAGGTCGGAAAAATGGCAGGAATACTTGTGGGATGGAACTTTATCGTTTTAATTTTTTTTCGCCCACCTACACTCCTTTTTTCTACAAAAATCGACAAACAGTCATAAAGCGGGCAAGGGATGCGTTGATTCCGACATGGCTTTGTGGTGTGCTTTAGTACACATTGACTCAAGGAGGGTTAGTGAAGAGTCAGAAAACCCCATAAAAGCAACGAAACCCTAGCGCGACTTTTATTTTGAATTTGAGGTACCCGACAGGAAGCTCGTTGCGTGCGAAAAAAGCAGAGACGCAGACGGTTTAGACGAGACCGACGAATAAACTTGAGTTGATGTAGAATGCACCGCACTTAGCGTTTCACGCTACGCGCGAACTCTGCACAGCCGACACAGCGGGCAAGGGATGCGTTGATTCCGACATGGCTTTGTGGTGTGCTTTAGTACACATTGACTCAAGAGGGTTAGTGAAGAGTCAGAAAACCCCATAAAAGCAACGAAACCCTAGCGCGACTCTTTTTTGAATTGAGATACCGCCCAAGGAAAGCCCGATTGCGTGCGAAAAAGCAGAGACGCAGACAGTTTAGACGAAGACCGAGCGATTAAACTTTGAGTTGATTAGAATGCACTGTATTGCGTTTCACCCACGCTGCGACTCGCCCGCTGAACTGTCTGTGCCTCTGCCTTCTTGTCAGGCGACGGGCCTGCTGTCGGGTACTCTTGAATTTGAGCGCGAATATTCTGAGATGTAATGATAAGTTTGAGTAAGCCTTTGGTTATTTGCCAGAGAAGGGTTTCCTGATTCTTCTAGGGTAATGTCAGGTAGCTTCAGATACGAAAAGGTTCAATTTTGATTTTGAAAAGTTTTGGGTGCCCTGCAATCTAATTTTTCACCAATTCAGATGGTAACAAAGACGAAGAAAGTGTTCATTGGTGGACTGTCGGCCTCATCAACACTTGAGGATATGAAGACATATTTCGAGCAGTATGGAAAGGTATTTTTGTGCAATTTTATGCCTTCAAAATTTTTTATGTGAGGATTTTTACCAAACAGAACCGTAACGTTCCCAGGTCAGTAAAAAAAACAGTTGAATATTTTTCAATGATTGGTAGGGTCGTAGGTCAGCAAAAAGAATCCATTATAAGAAGTGCCTGCCAAGCCTTGGTAACAGTCCTTGGGTGCTGGCAACTACGGAGCAGCGTCAACCATCCGTCCGCAGTATTCGATCAATGGTCGCATCTGCGATTTCAGGAAAGGAACTGTTTTTTTTTGGGTTTGAGCAAGGTTAACCATATCTGGTAAATTGTGAACGGGGGAAGAAGTTGTGAAAAAAGGGTTCTATCTAATGGGTTTGGCGTTTTTTAGACATAAAGGGGAAAGGCTCAGGAAAGTAGGGTACAGTAGATCAAATTAGTGGACTTGCCGCTTCATGATAGCATTCGCCCCCCCCCCCCCGTCGTCGACGGCCGTTTTTGAGGAAGAAAGTGGGTGGAGTTAGGTGTGTCGACTGATCTCGGAATCAGATATTATAGAAGCAGCCGTGATGGCGAAGGTGGCATCGGGGTAGGGAAGGGGGAAGGGGTGTCGTATTGGGAGATTCTCCTAAGGCAGGCGGTGATGGTGGGAGATCTTGGAAAACTCTTGGAAATTCTTGGAAAACTGCGAACGTGACGTTGACTCTGCTACGAACCTCTAACTTACCAAAAGGTTAGGACCAAAAGTTATTCACAGTTAATAACCATACTCTTTAGGAGAACTGTCCATTTTGTACGCGCTGGCGACCGTGGGATACTGGATACTGAATACTCACTTACAAATTACTTCCGGTTGAGTTCAATGCTGGGGCTTAATTATCCTGAAAATCAAGCTATTCATTGTGACGTATGGGATTGCGATTTACGGGCGCGCTATGCAAATAACGGCTGCATTAGGGAGTTAAAGGTATTTTCCGGCCACAAGGGGAAGGGGTGCCAAGGAAGGAGGTAGTGTTGCACTCACCCCATCAAAACCGGTTCCTGCAATTAGCTGTCTTTTTACGAAGTAGGCAATTCTTCATGGAGTTGGTTGATCATCGATTTTGAACCTGAGTTTTCATAAATGCCTCTGTTGGGTTTCTTGTGGTTGATCCCTCCTAAATAGTTATTTAAGGGAGCTGCAGGAACCCTGTTCTTGAAAATCTCATTAGATTTTTTATGCAAAAATTTTGGAATGTTGGGTTCAATGTGTGTAATGATTATTCGAGGGCAATGTGAACCTGACTGTTGTTGTTTTTCCGACGGCAAGACTCGCGTGCATGTCGCAATGACAGTTGTGTGGATGATCCCCTGTGACGGATGTCCGCCGTTCGCTGTGAGAACAACAGCATCAGTAATATGCAGGGTACTGTAGCGGCTAGATCGAGCCCAAGTGTAATATGTAGTGACGAGACAGTGCCAGACCTATTAGAGTGGCGTTGCGGAAATGGGCAAAAAGCACAGTGCGCTTCGACGATGTCGGGGCAGGTGGTGTTTTATGGATGGATTCAGTGAGGAATGTGCAGCTATGGAAGTTGAAATATTGACTACTTCCATGCGCCTTCCCACTGCGATTGCTGAAACGAAAGCAAAAATGGTATTCAACGTCTCTTCGGGGTGTTCGAATTTCGCCTGTGAGTTTCTCAAGCTGGTTTAGAATTTTTTCTGTTTTGCAGTTTGGAACGATTGCTGCTGGCTACACTTTCTCCATCATACATACATGGAAGGGCTGAATTTTTCTTGTTGCGCCGAACACAATAACAATTTCCCCCTGCTTCGCCAGTTGGTTCGGTTGTAGAAGTTCCGAATGTAATCCATAAAGGACTCCTGTTTATCGCAAGTGAAAATTTCTCTGACAACCTAACAGAATGTTTTCCTTCAACACAGATTTCAGTAGTTATTTTGCTTGTAAAGGGTTTGCGAACTAATTTCGCCCTTGCATGCCCTGAAGAAAAGGCCGAAAAGCCAGATATATCACAACTGTCATTCTCGGTTATAAGCTGAATGTTTTCTGAAATTTATGCTGAAAATCGTATATTTGAGCATCAGCAATCGGTTTTAGCAAGTTTTATCAAGTGTCGAATATATGGGCGCAACCCCCAATCCGACTATTTCCCAGCGACAAGTGACGTTTCTAAAACGTTCCCTTCGCTGACTAATCCGTCCCTGGCGCAGGTTAATCGAATTACACCGGGCTACATAGAAACGTTCCAAGAACACCACCTTCCCCGAGTATTGCTAAGCTTTTGATTTTTTTTTTTTTGGTAATACGGTTTGCCCGTTTCCCAATTGCTAGCTATGTATACAGCGTTAGGCTTCACTACCTTTCTAGCATATGTACCTTAGAGATCGATTAACCGATCATCACCTATTCACATAGACTCTTAGTTATTTTCTTGGCACGGTTGCTGAATTACTAATGAGATTTAATTGTAATGATTTTCAGGTTGAGGATGCAATGCTTATGTTCGACAAAGCCACTCAGCGTCACAGGGGTAAGTGATTTTAAGGTTTTTAGAGTGTGTATTTGCTAATTTTTCGAATTTTGATCTGTAAAGCAATTTTTTTGAAGAATAAGATTTCACGCCCAACACGTACAGTGGTTTCTTGAAGATATCCAAACTGCAAGGTTTATTGTTGTCATAAAATTTTCAAGAAAGCGTGCTGTAGTAGTGAAATGACTCGCTTTACTAAATTCTGGACTTTTTCGTGGTCTACGGTATTCAAGCGACCACAGTATCGATCACATTTCCATTGAATTGTGCTTTGACTGCTTTTTCCTCTCTTATTATATTCCTTACGATTCGATGAAAGTGTGACTGCCGGAAGCTTAATGCATAGGAAGCGTTTCTCCAAGAAGCTGTACCTTCTGAGACTCTCAAAATTGTTTTCAAATAAATTTCTATCGGAAGCGGGGCAGATGTTCCCTAAGATAGTTTATCACTTGTTCTCAGTAAGCCAGCTTTCCTAGAAGTTACAGCATTTTGTGAAGGAGCTCATCTCGTTGTGCTCCCTATTGATTTAACAGTCAAAAGTTGCAAATTGAGCCTTGCGAAGGGTCGACGCAATTCGCCTGAAACATTCGAGTTTCGGCGCTAACTGTCGCTGGGGGGGGGGGGGAGGAAGCACGCGCGGCGAGGCGCTCGTGTCGTCTTGCCACCTCCAAGGCTGCAAGCTCCCACCGCCGCGGTACTATTTCGCGACATCACGTGGGAATACGCGCTTATCGCGGGGACATAAGCGCATTTGGGGAACAGACGAACAAAGCACCGCGTCGCCACGTGGTCCCTCCCCCCCCTACTAAGTTAGCACCGTAACAGCCCGTTATCTGCTTGATAAGGCCCTGAAGAAAAGGCCGGAAAGCCAGATATATCACAACTGTCATTCTCGGTTATAATGAGTGAATGTTTTCTGAAATTTATGCTGAAAATCGTATATTTGAGCGTCAGCAATCGTTTTAGCAAGTTTATCAAATGTCGAATATATGGCGCACCCAACCGATCCGGCTCCCAGCGACAAGTGACGTTTCCAAAACGTTCCCTTCGCTGACTAATCCGTCCCTGGCGCAGGTAATTGAATTACACCGGGTTACATAGAAACGTTCCAAGAACACCACCTTCCCCGAGTATTGCTGAGCTTTTGATTTTTTTGGTAATACGGTTTGCCCGTTTCCCAATTGCTAGCTATGTATACAGCGTTAGGCTTCACTACCTTTCTAGCATATGTACCTTAGAGATCGATTAACCGATCATCACCTATTCACATAGACTCTTTAGTTATTTTCTTGGCACGGTTACTGAATTACTAATGAGATTTAATTGATGATTTTCAGTTGAGGATGCAATGCTTATGTTCGACAAAGCCACTCAGCGTCACAGGGGTAAGTGATTTTAAGGGTTTTGAAAGTGTGTATTTGCTAATTTTTCGAATTTTGATCTGTAAAGCAATTTTTTTGAAGAATAAGATTTCACGCCCAACACGTACAGTGGTTTCTTGAAGATATCCAAACTGCAAGGTTTATTGTTGTCATAAAATTTACAAGAAAGCGTGCTGTAGTAGTGAAATGACTCGCTTTACTAAATTCTGGACTTTTCGTGGTCTACGGTATTCAAGCGACCACAGTATCGATCACATTTCCATTGAATTGTGCTTTGACTGCTTTTTCCTCTCTTAATTCCTTACGATTCGATGAAAGTGTGACTGCCGGAAGCTTAATGGATAGGAAGCGTTTCTCCAAGAAGCTGTACCTTCGTGAGACTTTCAAAATTGTTTTCAATAAATTTCTATCGGAAGCGGGGCAGATGTTCCCTAAGATAGTTTATCACTTGTTCTCAGTAAGCCAGCTTTCCTAGAAGTTACAGCATTTTGTGAAGGAGCTCATCTCGTTGTGCTCCCTATTGATTTTCACGTCAAACATGGCCAAATTGAGCCTTCGACGCTGACGATCGCCATTGATCAATCGATAGTTTCGGTGGATACTTAGTTGGGGGGGGGGGAGGGGGAGGGGAACCACGCGGCGGCGAGGCGCTCTGTTCGTCTTGCTCCTCCAAGGCTTAGTCCCAGGAGCGGTTACTATTTCGTCATCACCGCTGGCGAGCTTTTGGGAAATACGCGCCATCGGGGACTAAGCCTTGGGGGAACAGACGAACAAAGCACCGCGTCGCCGCGTGGTCCCCCCCCCAACTAAGTTAGCACCGAAGTTTCTATGAATTCTCCTGGGATCAGCCTAGGAAAGCACAAAAAATTAATACACGTATGTAACAACTGAAGGAATGCTTTATTCAAATCGCGCGCGACGTGGGCACCTCCGCCCGCCGCGTGTGACCTGGCGCGACGAAATCGCGCGCGAGGAAAGCGCGCCAGTTTCTTGTTACGAAATTGCCGCGCGTTGAAGTGCAACGTGATGTCGGCGCGACGCTTCGTTAGACGATGCTTTCAGCAATCTGGGGATTTTTAGAACACAAAAAGTAAAGGATTATGTTTTTTTTTGCATTTTTCGAGTTTTCTTGAACTATTTTGATGTCCTAATTATTTTTTTTTCATCTTGGAATACTACACTGGATCATCCAGCAGTTTTCAATAGTAGGTTTTCAGGTTTCGGCTTTATCACTTTCGACAACGACGAGGTGTCGGACAAAGTATGCGAGATCCATTTCCATGAGATCAATGGGAAAATGGTCGAATGCAAGAAAGCGCAACCCAAAGAAGTTGGTCCTTCTTCTTTCTTGCTTATCTTATCGTTGCCTGTGGCAAAATATACGATGGTTGCTGGTCAAAGTGTATAAGTTCAGAATGTGACTTCTTGAACATAAAAGGTCAATAGTTTCTGGAAAACTTGGCAAAGACTTTATCGGACTCGATTCGGGTTAACTTTGAAGCATTTCTCGAGCTTTTGCTCTGTGCTGCGACTTCCTACTAGTCTTAACCTTCTTGCTTCTTTGATTGACTTCTACCATTCTTAAAATGTAAAGGTTGGAATGTGAGCAAAAGAGTCTCTATTTGCTCTGGAACTGGAGCAAGCTAACGGTGTCACGTTCAATACACCGCACCTGGTTATTGGATACCATTTTTACGGATCGGTGGCTCTTGAAGAAAACCGCTTATCAGCTGTGTCGCATTTTCCCAGTCTATAACATGAATCCAGCCAAAAGAACATGGGAATGGTGTTTATCACTCGTGGATAGTTGATAATAAGTCTTGGTAATTGTTCCATCAAAGAACCTAAAAAGTTACTCGAGCTTTTGTTCACTCCCTCGGCCAATGAATCGACCGAATGCGCTTTCGATCGCCTTCACGACTCTCGTAATGGACGGATGCATGGCGCATACTAAAGCCCTGTATCATGCCAAGCTTTTTACTTGTTTTGAAGGGTTAAGATAGATCGTGCAAAACTAAATAATAGAAGGAAAACAATCAGTTTTCAAAGGTCTGTTGTGCAATTAGTTTATTCATTTGGGGTGCAGTCTGAAGTAATTTAGGTATAATTTTTTTTTTCAGGTAATGCTACCAGTTCAGCTGAACAAATCGCGTGCAGCTGCTGCGCGAAATCTTTACGGGCTTCCACCAGAGCAACTGCTACGTATTATGATGCTAATAGGTTGTAGGGAAAGTTCTCGCGTGTTTTTGACACATATCATTACCTTAATTTTTTATCAACAAGAAAACATATTAGGAAACAAAGTAATCACCATCACGTTCTATCACTCTTCGCCATTTTTCGGGCAGACTTTTGATGCCTTCGGCAAAGAACTTTTCTGGCTTCGATTCAAAAAAGTTGCTCAACCAGAGCTCAACGTGCTTTTCGAACGCCGCCGAACTTTCCTAAACTAAGTATTATGGGGGGCTAGGCTGAATTTCATGGATTACCTGGAACAATTTTAAATTAACATTGATCCTTTTGTTCTTGCATTTAAGATTAATAATTATATGCAGCATGATACTATCTACGCGATTCGGGTACAGAATAACCTGATCATAATCCACAATGATGACGTCGAGTAAGTGGATATATTAGTTAATTTTGTTTGCTCTGTCTGTAATGGCTTGATCTGCTTGTGTCTCATAATTAGTGAACTAGTTTTGATGTAGTATCGTGGCAAGGTTTCGTGCTCTACTGAGCGCGGAACATAGAGTTTTACGCGCTTCCAATCTTTATTTAGGTCGTTCTTTACTTAATTATCGTCCAAAACTCACTTAAATCATTTTTTTATTACTCAATAAACTCCTACTTCCCCGCTTGAAGGAGCGCTTTGAGCAGTGGTTTTCCGCTGTTTTTAGCTAATGTTTTCGCATTCCTTTCACTATTGGGCGGCTTCGATGTGGGTGCGCAATCTTTTGCACATTTTGATAAATAATGCTTATATTTGTTCCAGTTTTTAGCTAACACGCAAGCAGAAAAGATTATTGAAGCTCACGACTATGTTGCATATCGTGTCCTCGTGAACATCAGTAATCTTTTTTGCTCTTTTTAGAGCCCCATTTAAAGCATTTTTCAAGCGTTATGTTCCGTATTCCGAGGGATTGTGGGCTTTAGAATGACATCAAAGGCGCTGAAAATATTGAATTAGGAATTCGAAAAGTCATTAGTCAAATGAATGGAAAATTCCTGCTCAACCACACGCATTGAATTTCTCGTACAGAATCGCAACTAGTTTGTGAGCTATGTTATGGTTTGCTATACCCTGATTAGACCTTTTGGCTGCCGGTGGTACACTCATGGTAGGTTGCGTTGGCATGGCACCTATGTGTACCACAAGAGCCGGTGCAGCAATATCCGGCCGGCCGGGATGGGTCCTCAAAACATCGCGTCTCTACTCTTTTCGATGACGCAGTGCTCATGGTCGAGAATAGGGATGTCGTGCAAGATTGTAGAAACGTTTTGAGGACCTGCCATTCCGGCCTCCGGGTAACATCCGCCAGCGCATCACGGCTCTCAAGGACGTTTGAACGACAAGACGCCTCGTGTTCACTCGTCTGTAAATAATCGCCCATTCTTGGCAGCCTGCCCAACATCCGTAAGTAAAGTGGACCGAGAGTTGATTCACAAGTAGACTGTACACCTCATCTGTTTCATTGCGAAGTATCAAACCTTTTTTTACTCAAAACCTGCTATACCAAGAAGTCAAGGGGGGCATAATGCTTCAACTAGTTAAAGTCAGATGCTCATAGTCTAGAGCGTCCACCTACATACCATATCTCCTTTGAGTTTGCTTTGGTTACCATGCTTCGTTCCGGTAAACAGTTCTTCTCCCAAACAAGTCTTGGTTGGTGAATTATCGAAGTCGGAAAAACACTGCTTTCCACCATCCGGACGAACTTTTGCTTTGTTTTGTTCCACCGGCGGGCCAAACGCCTTGTCAATCGCGCACCCGCCGCTGGAGCCTGGCCACGTAATAAAGCGTCGCGGTTTGAGTATGTAGAAATTATGTGAAGTGGTGGAGGTGTTTTTCACAATTTGTGCCAAGTTCAAGGTCAAGCATAGTTTTTATGGAATGTAAGCCGATGTCATAGTTCGCGAATCGAGCGATTCGTTAGCGAACGCTGGATCCGAGCGTTGCGCCACACCGCGACTCGAACGTCTCCCGCCGTTGCACAAGCCGAATCACAAACTCGTGCACACACCAGCGAATATCGACCGCATGCACGCAGCAATCACACAGGGCATCCAGCGCTCAATAGTGGCGACCCACCACCCGCTACAAAAGAAAGCCCCGCCCACTCTCCCCAAACACGTGTCCTCACCTGTCACGCTGAGAACCTGTTCCGAACATGTAGCCCCGGGCCTTTCTCTTTACACTGTTGCGGTCCGCCCTAAAATCTCGATCCGCGCTGTATCACTATCGTCTTGGACTCGCTTGGGTACAGTTAGTTGGATTCGCTGGTGGCATATGTTTATTCGCTTGGCGTCACGTCTCGATTCGCGATTCGCTGGTGCACAGTTTGATTCGCTAGTGCAAACAGGTCGCAACGTTCCGAATTCGCTGCCGCAACGCTGGATCCAGGTTAAATAAAAAGCGCTCGCTACGCGAATGTCGCTCCGATTTGCAACTATACATCGCTACACAGCCTTTATTTTCGAAAAACAATTACAAGAATTAGGAGTACAACAAACGAAAGACAGCCAGCGCTATCGCCGAGGTATCGGGGCCATCTAAGAACTAAACCCTTGAAAGGGCTAAAAGCTTTGGGTGAAGACAAAGTCTCTCAGTCTGAATATTGGTCCTGTTTATAACAGGACGAAGATATGGTGTGCATCGATAGGCGATCCCGTCCACCAATGTGGCACGTCTTCTCTCCTTAACCCATTCGCGACAATGGCAGCACACCGGTGGCTGACGAAGATGCTCGCTTTGGACCATTTCATCCACCGGTTGCCCTCATGGAAAAAGTTTCAGCACCAATTGTTGATTTTGCCACTTCACCTTCACTTCAAGGAAAGGGTCGCGAGGGACAATTATGGCCACCAGTAGCTGCCACTTTGCGATCGTCTCAAACAAAGCTCGTCCGAACGGGCAGATTGAAAATCCTGCGCGGTCGCGAATGGGTTAACTACTATTTACCATCACGCCTAGTTTTTTGCGATACCAGCTTCATGAGCTTGAACTTGGCCATGTTAAGGGATGAGTTCGCATGAACAGGAATATCACAAATGAGGATAGATTATAGACGCAACTGATGATGTAGCAGTAGAATAACGCCTGTAGGCTCCGCCTCCTATTTTTTTCACATGAGCACATGTACTGTTTGCTAAGTTTTACTTTAACGAAGCATGTTGGTATGATAATATGAACATAGAAATCTTCGTGAAATGGGATGGAATGCACCATGTACAACACATATGGTCCGTAGTTGTCCGAGCTAGTGATGGGTCGTTTATGCATTGCATCCTATGGCGTATTGGGTTCTTAAAGCAACACCCTCAGCAGAAGCCGTGTCGAAGAACTATTCAGTGGGTGGGGTAGAAGACTACGAGTAGTGCACAAACTGTTCCGGTTTCCGCGGCTGCGCGAGTGCGGCGACGATGCGCGTCTAGGGTATAGCAAAGTCAGCCTTGGCTGCTAATCTTAGCATTTGGACGAGTTACGTCGCGCAGTTACGTCACACACCCCATGACACGCAATGTGGACTATTGCGAGCGCAGTCGAGGGTGGTGAAACAAGCCATTTCGCACAGCTCGTCCGGCCCCACCCCTTCCTTTTTGAAGGGGTATTTCTGTTTTAGGCCTCATCTACGGGTTTCTGCTTTTCTCATCTTTAGTCAGTTCGATATCCACAACTTTATTATCAGTCTCTGTGACCCCACAAGTTCGATCTGGGGGTGTTGCTTTGAGCTCTTGTCAAGTTGTCGTTAGCTCCAGAGGCAGGGTCCATTTGAAAATAAGTTGGAAAGTGCACATACATATGATACTGTTTACAAATACTATTAGTACGCTTCTGGGTTATACTTCTAGTAATTCGAGAGCCATGTGATCGTTTGAACTGTGGTCAAAATTTCAAGAAGCGTGAGATAAAATTCAAGAAAAAATGAAGTGAGCGTCCCCCATCCGAGCTCACGATAGGTTCATAAATTGAGTAAGCAGTTGAGTACGCAGATGTGGTTGTCCATTGGTATGCATGAGGATTTCGGCACAATAGTGATGTGCTATAGCTAGGAATAGTAGTCATAGAAGTTAATGCGTTGACGATCAATAATGTTACTGGTTACTTTCAGTGTTCAATCAAATGCCCGGCTACTCTGGACTGCCATCGTCGCCGGGTTCGTCGTCAAGTGCAGCTGCAGCTATTGCTGGTCGTGGTGGCGCTGGGCAACCATTCGACGCTACTGCAGCATTGTATGCGAATCTGAGCGCGGCACAGCCGTTCGGTGATGGTGGACTGTACGTTTCTCCACAACCGCTGCATACCTACCACAACAAGGTGTAATCCAGTCAGTAACAGGTGAATCTATGATATTTATATGATTTGACGTTCTTCGCGAGCGGCCATCTTATATGTACCTTGACTGTTCCTTAGCTGCTGTTTCGCCTAGTTTATTGGCTCATCCCAATTGCGCCAAGGCCGTTAGAGTGAGCCAAACAAGTTTCTAGCGTGGTGCGGCCGAGTGGAACCTCTTCACTTTCACCATGTAGTGAGTGCTGCCCAGATTCATAGGAATGCCTAATTTTTTTTACCATGACTTGGGGGCGGAAGTGGTGTAGTGGCAAGTGGCACGCTTACCACGCGAGCGGTCCGGGGATCAAATCCTGGGTCGTGAGTCGCCCGGGCCAACCAAGCCTTCCATCCCTCCGGGGTCGGTTAATTGGTACCAGACTTGTCTGGGAGGATAAAAACACTGACTTGTACATCGGCTGGCCCCCGCAAGTCATTGTATAGGCCACATCGCATTCAAACGCCACTACGAATGTACAAATGGAAGTAGAATGCGTGCCGCATCCCAAAGGGATTGATCAACGGCAAATGCTTTATCCTTTTTTTATCACTTTGGCGGCCGTAAGTCCTGAGAAGACGTGTACAAAGAACCTAAAGCAACTCCCAGTCCAGGAACCGAATGGTGGGGCCAATATATCATCGCCTAAGCACCTATATGGAAGTTGTAGGTGAAAAGTGGTCGAACGTAAAGAGAAAAAGTGAAGAAAACGCCCAACTGGGGCTTAGACAGGGACATGCCCTGCCGTTTAGGGAGACGTGTGTTGGACGAGTTGTCCGAACCTGCCCGTAGTACATGCGCTTTAATTGCAACTGCTGGCAAATAGCTGCATGCTTGCAAATACATAACTATTTGCCAGCAATCGAAATTGAAGCGCTTCAATTGCGTTCTTATGGAATCGACCTCATACAGCGCGGCGGTCCCGCAACGACCGCTAGTCAAGCGCGGACTCTGCACAGTCTCGTAATGTTGCTGGGTCAAAATCTCCGCCTCTTTATGGGTGATCCGCCCCCTCAAAGAGGACTTCGACCCCTTCCAGCGCATTTTAGAGGTAGGTTTTGGAAATTAAAGACATTTCCTATAAACTTAAGTTGGGCTGGGGCATGTTTTGACCGCCTAATGACCAAGTAGTTGAAACGGCCTGCTGACTTCTTAAAAATCCTTAGTCATCTTAATAGTTCCCGCGTGAACACGTGACAGGGCAAGAGGGAGGGACCTCTTTGATCCATATTTTCACTGCCTGGCATTCTGAACGTGCGAGTCCAGATTTCTAGTCTATTCCGTACACCCTATACCTAAGCTGAAATTATATAACCGCCCAGTGGACATAGAAATTATCGGGACGCCCAAAAACAATTGGATTTGGGTTGCATGTGTTCCTCTCCCTTGGTTTTTTCAGTTTTTGTTCTTTTTTTATCGTGCTCGAGAGCCCATCGCGCCGGCCCTAAGTGCACAAAAAACAGAAAGCGCGAGCGGTCGGCAATTAGTACACTAAAAAGATACAGAAGTGGGGTGACGCAATTCTGTGGCGACATGAGGCACCCGTATGCGACGGGAAACGAGAGGACAAGAGGCGAGAGCATGCGGTCAGTACGAGACCATCTCGCAGCGTGTGTTAGCAAGTGATTTCGCTCCTAGTATAGAAATGCACTTCAAAATAGCATCCCCATATCACACACAAAGCACCGCAACTCGTCCGCTGACCCTGCATCTGCGTCTCTGCCTTCTCGCCGCGCAACGGGCCTCTTGTCCTTGTACCCTGTATGTGAGAGCTACCGAAAAAAAGTTTAGCGTAGTTAGGTGGGGTTTTATCCATGGACGTAGATTCTATCATTCATTCATTTCCTCGTTCATTCAAAGTGAACGTGATGTTGTTTCAGATGTCAGCCGCGTGCAGTCTCAGCGATACTCCGCACTCCTCCTCCTCCTCCTGCTCCCATCGTTCACACATCACTCACTCTTCATGCAGTGCAACAGCGGTTGACAGTGTTCACATACAGACACGAAAAATCCATACACGCAACAGAGTGCTCTATTCGTAAATTCGTTCGTTCGTTCGTTCGTTCATTCATTCGTTTCGGTTCGTTTCTCGTAGAAGATTCTTAGACGTAGAGACCCATAGAGACCGTCAATTCTTCTCTCTTCTACCTGCTGTACATGCATGCGTCGTTGTCAGTCAGTCAGTCAGTCAGATATATGACATCGTGTACATTTATTTTTGTTTTCTTTTCCTTTTTTTATTTCATTTTTTGTTTTTTGTATTTTTTTGAACGCGTACTAAATCAAACTCTAGACGTTTCGTAGTATGAGTCGCCTTTTTTATATATTCTCATTTTTAAATGATTTTTTATGTTTATATTATACATTTACTATTAATACGACTAATACTTCTACAGTGATAACTACATATAATATTCTTCATAGAAGTTATCCTTATAATCAAGATGAGTTTTTCTTCTTCTTTCTATAATTGTTCATCTTTCTTGTCTTCCTCTTCAATAGTGCATGTGCGAATATGTGTAATCGATTTTCGATTAAGACGCACACGCAGACGCGTTATACGCGTCGCGTGTGTTGCACATATTCCTGACACGACAGGCCTTCGTATCCGGTGTGTTAATGTTGTTGTTGTATGACCGATTTTTTGAATATTTTCCCCCTCCATTTTTTGGTTTGTCTCCACCCCCAACCATCACTCGCTCTTATTGTGAGTCTTCCGTTAAAAATATGTGCGTGTGGTTTCCAAAGCCCGCAATCCCTTCAACATCAAGCTAATCAATATATTCAATTACTAATCGATATTTTTTGTGTCGTTGTCTCCTCCTCTTGTTCTCCTATCGCACCATTCAATACGACTCGCACATGTACAATTGCGGCCCACACCCCTCATATGCCTGTTATGAAATTCGCACCCCCCATATACCCATTTACAAAATTCGATGTGCACCTTGTTTCATCATACCTCCTCAGCACACCCGGTTCATCATCACAAGTCTCTGGTTTCTCTATCTATCTTCTACTTCTGTTCCTCTGCGTCTCTGCTCCTGCTCGAGTACCGCCGTTTACGAGTGTGCCCCGCCCAGTCCTTCGTGAATAAGTGTTATCCGGTATTGCCCATATATAAGTATGTAGAGAATACGCCGAGCGGGCAACGCCTACTACTATCTGACTATCCATCATCATACTGCTTATCGTGCGCTACAGTAATGCAGTGAGAAACGGTTTGTGTAAGATCTACAGTATCCTCTGTGCTCACTGCTGACCTTCCGTACTGACTGCACACACCCCCACACACACCCTATTCCGCCTTATGTATGCCTTTGTTGTAGGTCGTTGAACAACAACAAAAACAAATCAGCAATTTTCACCGCAACGCACATCGTTCTCATCGGCATACTGTAGAGGAACAGAGTGTCGTCGCGCGACGTCCAGGCGCCGCGCGCGACCCGCTCGACGGCCGTCTTTCGCCATTTTGTGCCCAGATCGAGTTGCGTCAGCGCCAGACGTCATTGCCGGCATTTTTGTGATTTTTTTCTGAATATTTTGCGTGGCGTCGCAAGCTCCGCCGCCTCCTCATCTCAATAATCGCTACCGTGCTAAACGGGCGGCGCTTGTGAACAGCGTCTACGAATTTCTCGTTGTACTCCTTCATTGCTCATGCGTGTACATTATGGCGCTTATGCCGTCGCGTCCTACGCCGATGCCTGTAACGCGAGGCAGGGATAGTGTCATTGTCGACGGTAATATCACCCACTATTCTAATATCGTCACTCCCTAGCATGCTAGACTGTCCCTGATCGCGTTATCGATTGGTTAGGCGAAGCGGCGCGAGCGGTCCATTAACTGATTGTCGCAGCGCGACGCGTAGCAGAGAAGTGATGTCATTCTCCTTTCTACCCAGTGCGGGGTGTTCACACCCAGTAATCTTTATATGTACGTCTTGAATTAATAAATCATTATTGTGTCTTTGTTGAGTACAGTGACATTGTAAAGTAAACAGTTGAACTTATCAAAATCAAGAGGACAGTATTGGCAAGTAGCCTAAACAGGTAAAGTAGGAGTCTAAATTTGCTGCAAACTGTCTGACAAGCGCTCAGAAGGAAAGGAGGAATTATCTTATCAGTAATTGAAAGGTTTTGACAACAAGGAAAACTGAGTTCAGCAGCACAATAGTAATAGCGCTGGTCATTGGTGGGTGCCCAAAAGAAGTAAAGTGGCTTCACCGATAAGACGTAGATTGGATCGATCACAGTGATGTTGGCAATTTGGCTTTGGAAAAAATCGGAGCTCGGTTGGTCGGTAAATTTACTGCATTGGTTACTTAAGGGCGCCTTCCACGATTGCCTAACTACATAGAGCGATACATCGATGAGTATGGG